AATATTAAGGCTTTTAGGCTGGGTGCGGTGGCTCACGCCTGTAATTCCAGCACTTTGGGAGGCTGAGGTGGGCAGATCACAAACTCAGGAGATCCAGACCAACCTGGCCAATGTGGTGAAACCCCGTCTCTACTAAAATACAAAAAATTAGCCCGGCATGGTGGTGTGCACCTGTAGTCCCAGCTACTGGGGAGGCTGAGGCCAGGGAATCACTTGAACCTGGGAAGTGGAGATTGCAGTGAGCCGAGATCGCACCACTGCATTCCAGCCTGGCAATAGAGTGAGACTCCTTCTCAAAACAAAAAAAGAAAAAAATTAAGCCTTTTATCTGAATTTATTTTAAAAATAGAGATAAGGTCTTGCTATGTTGCCTAAGCTGGTCTCAAACTCTTGGCCTTAAGTGATCTCCTGCCTTTGCCTCCCAAAGTCCAAAGTCTAGGGATTACAGGCACCAGCCACCACACCCAGCCAAATACTTTAACAATCTAGCCCTTTTTACAACTCTAATGTGGATTCCCTTTGAGGTGGAAAATGGAAGCTAAAGCCAGATACAGTTCTAATGCTATGTTTATGATGCTTTTAACAAGTATTTTTATTGTTGCTCTTCGCAACTCATGGACCCTCGTTGCTGATCTTTTCCTGCAATGTTCCTAGTCATTTCCCATCTTCTATTTATGTGCCTTACCCATCCCCCACCCCTGCCATCGCTAAGCATAATTCTTGCTATTTGTACCTATTTCATTTGTTTTATTCTTATTGGTTTCGATGTTCATTTTGTATTATATGCTTATTTATTGTACATGCTTTTGAATCCATCCAAATTGATGACAGTGTTTAGAATCAACATTGATTAATTGATTGATTGAGACAGGGTCTCTCACTCTGTTGCCCAGACCAGAGTGCAGTGGGCACAATCACAGCTCACTGCACCTGGACCTCCCCAAGCTCGAGTGGTCCTCCCACCTGAGCCTCCCGAGTAGCTGGGGCTTCAGGTATGTACCACCATGCCTGGCTAATTTTTGTATTTTTTGTAGAGGCTGGGTTTTGTCATGTTGTCCAGGGTAGCCTCAAACTCCTGAGCTGAAGCGATCCTCCTGCCTCAGCCAAAGTGCTGGGATTATAGGCATGAGCCACCAGGCCTGGCCAGAATCAACCACTTTAGATCAGTCCTCAGCCATCACCGAAGAGTCCCAGTAAACTTATAAGGCTGAGAGGCAGTCACTGAGATCCCTGCTTTGAACTTGAAATCTTACAGGATTTACGTACTCTCTAATGATGCAATGATAGAGTGGTGGTGTCCAGTAGAACTTGCTGTGATAATAGAAATGTTCTATATTCTGTAAATGTCCATAGATGTTTATAAACTTCTATAAATGTTTTATATTCGCCGCTAGCCACAGGTAGCTGTTAAGCACTTGAAATGTGGCTTGTGTGACTGAAGAGCTGAATTTTCCATTTTAAATGATTGAAAATTTAAATCGCCTCATGTGGCTAGTGGCGGCCCATTGGACAGCACAGATGTATCTCATTGCTACTCAAAATGTGGTCCCCAGACCAGGAGCATTGCCATCACCTGGGAACTTACAAGAAATGAGGACTCTCAGGCCCATCTAGTTCTACTGAATTAGAGCTGCAGCTCTAATTCACAGTGTCCACAGGTGATTTCTGTGCAACTCAAGTTTGAGAAGCACTGATAACCAGCTGAACATTGGAGTCACATGGGGAGTTTTTAAAAAAATTCTGCCGTCTGGGTCTCACCATAGTGATTCTGGTTTAATTGGAGTTAGGTGTGGCCTGGGTGTTGGGATTTTTAAGAACATCCCCAGGTAACTTTAGTTGGGCAGCAAGGACTTGCTATGGCTCAAACTTTGCGTGTATCTGAATCACCTGGGAATTTAAAAATACAGAGGCCCAGGATCCTTTCTGCCTCAGCAAGCCTCGGTCTCTGTATTCTTTATTAGCTTTCTACAGATTCTGGTGCACACACTTTGGGCCTGAAAATCTGTAATGTAGAAGATAGTTTCCCACTTTGGTGGTAATTGGCATGTAAGCTAGAATGAAACGCCTTGCCGACGTTGAAGAAAATTGATCTGTTACACCTTTCAGTCATATTTCTACACGAATGATTTTGTAAATACTTGTTTTTCACAAAACGTGCCACTTGGTGTTTGTATAATGTTTTTGCTTGTAATCGTTTATTTGTTGGTGAATGTCTTGTCCCTATAAGCTTTTCTCCCTCTACCTTTGTGAAAAAAAAATTTATTTTTTTGTAGAGCTGGAGTCTCACTGTGGTGGCCAGGCTGGTCTCAAACTCCTGGCTTCAAGTGATCCTCCTGTCTTGGCCTCCCAAAGTGCTGGAATTACAGGCGTGAACTGCCATGCCTGGCTTTTTTTTTTTTTTTTTTTTTTTAATAGATAGAAGTGTCATTGACATTTTGGTTTTCAGAATTGTGAAGAAGTCTGTTAATGACAGCTGGTAGTTCATGGTCAACTTGCCAATTCCTTAAGGTCCAAATTGGAAAGCTTTGGGATCAGAATGTTCTGTAATACGGAAGCGTCTGAGATCAAGAGAAGCCCAACCTCCAGCTACTACCACAGCCCCAGTCAGATGCAGCATGTCAGCTGAGGGAGGTTGGCATGGAGTGATGATATCAAGGTGTCTGGTGCATTCAGATCCTAACTAATTCCAGTCTTTAGGTGACAGGGTCAGTAGTGTTGCATTTGGCATGATTCTATCTTAGGAGCTGGGGAAGGGGTGGATAACTAGGTGATTCTTTTTCTTTCTTTTAAAAAATGTGCTGTTAAGTTTTGTATCAGCTAAAACCTTTTATCTTTGTGGTACAGAAAGCTTTTGGCATGCTAGTGCAGCCAGCCTTTGTTAGGGCATGAGTTTATTAGCTATTTATTTACTGGAAATGTCATAAGAATTGATGATGATTTGGAAGAAGGAACAAATTCAGGTCCTCTACAAAAATTAACTGTTAAAAATGTGTCACATGCTGGGCATGGCTTGTGCCTGTGATCCCAACACTTTGGGAGTCTGAGGTGGGAGGATTGCTTGAGCCCAGGAGTTCAAGATCAGCCTGGGCAACGTGGTGAAACCCCATCTTTATAAAAAGTACAAAAATTATTCCAGGTGCGGTGGTGTATGCCTGTAGTTCCAACTACTTGGGAAGCTGAGGTGTGAGGGTAGCTTGAGTCAGCGGAGGTTGAGGCTGTAGTGAGCTGTGACTGTGTCACTGCCCTGCAGCCTGGCAGGCAGAGTAAGACCCTCTCTCAAAAA